CAAGACTGAACCTGCAGGTTTTCTTCTTTTTATTTCACTGTTTAGTTTAGTTTTCCCGTCAGCTTTCCTTCTGCCTTTGCTGTCGGTTTAGCTTTGTTAACGCAGGAAAGTTATTATTGTGAAGTAAAATTAGAGTTAAGTCAAATTTGGGATTGTGATGATCAAACCCATGGCCACACTCTAAAAGTCCGTAACCCCTATGTATTTTTTTTTTATCTAAACACAATAAAACACTTTAGTTTCCAATAAGTTTATTGATTGGTTTGGATACATTTGTTCTATTTTTAAGCGCACACATTTACTTTACTTATGTATTCATACCAGTTCATTACTTTGTTTGATCTTTGACTAACCGTTGCTTCTTCTGACTAACCTGCCATGGTGCCTGGGAGTTGGTGTTTTTGTACTTTATGATTATGTTTTGTTTAGTTACCCCTCGTGTGTCATAGTGGTCTGATCAGCCATTATCTATACCCTTGTGAGCCATTTCCTGTTTAGGTCAGTTATGTTTGTCTGGGCATTCATTTGCTCAGTTCTTTGCCTGAGTTTAGTTTTGTTTCTTTGACCTCTTGAGCTCAACATTTATTACTTTTGTAAATGTAATTTTGGGGTTAAGTAAATGGAAACCCTATTTTTCTAATAATTCCTGTGACTCCTGCTTTTTTCAACTCGCTCCATCACAGGGTTGCATTATACTTGTAATATGTGTATCACATGACCAAAAGGACTACAGGGTAACTCTGAATACTTTAAAGTCTTGAGAATGAAGACTGGCTCATGGATCAGTGATGAAGCCTCGATTACAAGCACAGCATTTGAATGCTGTGCAAAAACACTATAAAAGCTGCCACATTTGTAGATATTATTATTATTATGTTCATAATCAGCACAGGTAGGTCCACTGTTATTTGGAAATTAACAAAGTCTTTATAATTGTGCCTCGGTACACCACCATCAAAGTTGGCACTTCAAGTGCCAACTTTCAGCTTCGATTTAAGAGGGTTTACAAAAAGTTCCACACATCTTTATTCACAGTCCAGCATTTTGATGGTGGTGTACCGAGGCGTGTGAGGCGAGGGGTTTAATAACAGCTGTGCCACGAGCTGAAATATTTTCACACCAAGTCAATTCACTAATATTAACTTTTAACGTCACATTTAGTAAACAGCCTGCTCTGTGTGTTTGCTTTGCCACAATGCGCTCATTCCTATCTATCCATCAGTGTGTCAGCTGATGTTAGCTGTGTGGGATGTTGTGTTGTTTTGCTCCTCTCAGGAAAACAGGTTGGACTTGCCTCATGCGTCTGTTTTAATCGAACAAAGAATTATAATCATTAAATATTAGCATACGCAGTTACATTCAGTTACACTGCTGAATGAAACAATTTGTTAAAAGTATCTTCAGCTAAAAGTGATTTCTTTTCTCCAAAGCAGAAGCGTCTTCATATGAAGTGGTGTACATCGTATGAACTTCCATAAAACACACATTTTGTCTTGTTTTTAACTCCAGCTAAATATTACAAAATCAGCTAATAACATCATAATTCACTAGTTCCTATTATGTTGAATGCTTATCATCTTCAACACTGAATTCAAGTCTTTTTTCATATAATAACATCTGAATTATGTTTCCCTTAAACATGTATTTTCAGTGTTATGAGCATTAGGCCTTAATGTGGAGATTAATTCACATGAGAGCAACCAAAGACGACTGCTTTCCTTTGCAGATTTTTTCATCTGAAGGCCAAAAGGAAAAAAAAATTCCACTTTGTTACTTTTATGGGTTGTGGAACAATAACTTGTGTTTGCCTGTCGAGTCCACTTGATGCACGGTTTCATCTCCATTTTCTGCTCTTTTATCGATCTAAATATTATAAACCCCACAACTGTTCTGTGTTCATAATGCAGCACAATTGGATCAGATCCCCGTGGCTGTCGACTGATCTGATGCAACCTCGCGGAGCAGTTTCACCGGCTGCGCTCTCAGTCATGAGGTGTTTGTGAGTGCATGTGAAATGCAGATAAACAGGCTTGGTGCCAGACATCTTGTGACCGCTTCTTTTGTTTATACAGTCATTGAACACATCTTCCTCCTCTTCCCTCTTCTTTACTAAATACCATGACTTTACATGAACTCTTTTGAACTTTTCCAGTTTTTCTCTTTTCCCTCATTTATATGTAGCCTTCTTTCCCCACTGCTGATAATAAATATGCCACAGACAGTGATCGTTTTAGAGGTCACACATTTAATCCAGAAGTTAATAAGTTAAAAAGTGCAGCAGGTAAAACATTTAAGAACCATGGCAGCAATAATAAAAGTATAATAAATAAACAAATAAGAAAAGAATAAGAAAAGTCACATTTACATTTACGTAGCAACACTTCCTTAGCACTAAATGAAAGGTGCTCTGTTTGCACATGATTTTTCCTCTGCTCACATTTCTGAATGCTCACAGGACGTTTTATAATTACAGCAGTGAGTCAGCGGAATAGCAGTAAGTGTTGTTCACTTTGATAAGGATATGTTATATGAATCATTTAGTGTCACATGTACTCACACCTTGCAGCTTTTCTTAATATCTTAATAAAAGAACCAAAGGTAACACTTCATAATAGAGTTCACTAATAAACTTTATTTTTAGTTTAATGAATTACATATTGCATTATTGTTATGCTTTACATTAAGGTCCATACATTTATAGACAGTGATCCAAATCTTGTCTTTGTGCTTCTCTGCACCACCACAGTGGACGTAGCTTTCATTCAAGGAAAACAAAAGTTGGACTTTTTGGGAATTTTGAACATTTTCCTGCATTTTCAGAAGCTAAACAGTAGGGGCACTGGAAATGCCTGAAACTGAAGAGGGTGATCACAGAATTATTTCTCTGGCTATTAAAAGCAACAACCAGCCAAGTCCTGACAACACTCTGGAGGACACTGTCATCAAGAGATGCCTTGGTGAATGTAAGTGCAGAGGGTTTAAAACAGGTGCAAATCACCGGTTGCATGAGGCCATATCAGACTTGCGTATCAAAAATAATCTATGCATTTAAAATTGTGTTCGTTTGACAACTTAATCTGAGTCTCTGTTATTAAACCCCTCGCCTCACACACTACATGTGTGAAGTTTACTTTGGAAGTGACAAAACACAGAAAGCTTATTCTGAATAGTTGTGTAATTAAAACACACACACCACACTGGATGTCTTAAACAGTGAGTGTTGGTTTTACAGCACTGTCACTATACATTGCATTTCCTTGGCACCTCACAGTGTAGTTCCCCTGCATTTCCACAGAAAGACGCTTCCTTCTTAGTGGTGAGCCTCTGACTTGACGACAGCAGCTAGTCTGAACGTGACTGGCTGCCAGCTGTGACGTTTCACAGCAGGGAGATTTCCCAAGACCATGACTCAGGTGTGAGTCTTTAACTTGTAACCTTCCTACTTTTGTCTGCTCTCACGTAACCTAAGTAGGTTGGACTTAAAGCAAGCAGCTATTTGGTGTCATGGAAACACTGTCCTTTGATTGGAGGATAAAGCTCCTTTCCCTCGCCAGATGAATGTGAATTTAAATGACTGGTGTGTATTAGACAGTTAGTCATTTGCGAGCAATGCATGATTTATGACGCCATCGTGTCTGGACTTGAAAACAACACTGTGGGATTCAGAGGAATCTTGTGTGCAGTTATAAGAGTTAGATGGATTGCTTAAACCTTTGGATCTGCAGCAGGCCACTTTTAGATAAATTCATGAGAACAATCCAAACCCAGAAGCCCAGATGTGTTAAATATGTATCTGACAAAAAAGGTAATTTTACTGCATATGAATAATAAACTACCACAAACCTATTAGCCCAATGGAAGATTTCTGTGTGAAAGCTGATGTGGTATTCAACTTGACACCACAAACACCCACTGTACTGACCTATATTTTCGTCACAGGCTAGTATATTTCCATGGCAGCCTGTATGCCATGTTCATTTATTAGTATTTTTTTTTAGTACTAGTAGTTTTTTAAATCAGGTATTTAGAGCCTTCATTTACAGACACATGCTAATACAAATATTCTACTACAAATAAAGGTCCTGGAGCATGACTGAAGAAAAGTGAACTTTGTGTGTTTTCTACATTATATGAATTAAAATTTTTATAGATAATAAATGTTACTTCCCATATGGTTTTCTGGAAAAATAGGGAAATATAAATTATGTGGAAAATCCAAATATTCTCTGTTTTGCTCTTGAGTTTTCAAAAATCATGTATGAACTGACTGTAAACCTTATTCAGCTTATTTACTATAATGAATGGTTGCCTGCCCACTATTTTTTATTTTTTTTGGATTATTTGTTACTTGAAAAAATATAAATTTACAAACCTTTCTCCAGGAAATCTAAAAATTTTGTATATTACAGGGTTATAAAAATAAATGTTAGAAAATGTCATAAAATGTTTTAAGAAAATACTCTTAAAATGTGTGGGAATGGAGTTAGAAAATAAACACAAATACATCAAAAATGGAATGTTTTTCATGAGGTAAACTGAAAGGAAAATAAAATGGAAAAACAAAGGTAAAAACAGGTAGTAAAAACACAATGTTAATTTAAGTCATTTTACTAATTTTGTCCATTATTTGATATATTTTGGTGCTTTTAATGTCATAATTGTTTTAATGTGTCATTTATCTTTTTAAAATCTATTTAGTCTTTTATTAATATTATTTTGTAGGCTGAAACTTTCATAAATATATATAGTTAAAAACAATAGACGTGTACAAGGCACAAAATATTACAAGGTAGGACGATACATAAGTAAATATCTCCATTTAAAAAAAAAAAAAAAAGAATAATAAAACTAAATATTACACATAACTACTGAGCTTTTACAACTTTCTGCAATCTCCTCGCGCGTTGCGTGATCCGGAAATTTCTGGCTCAATCCACCAAGCCCCGCCCACACGTGCGATTGCTCAGCTGACGCAACTGACAGCTCGGGTATAAGACCTCCGCGCTCACAGCCAGCAGCCGCTCAGCTCAACCAACTCGATACATGGAGAAGACACAGACCAAACGCTCGGAGGAGATACCGGTGCTTCACAAACAGGAATCAGGATGGTCTATAGCTCGGCTCTGGTCTTTGGACACCTCTTGTCGGAGGAAGAAAACGTCGTAGAGATGATAGGAAAGTGCTTTTGTCCGCTAAAGATAACAGGACAAAAGATGAGTTCATCCCGGCGGGGAAGCGTCGAGAGCTACGAAGAAAGCGAGAGCATTTCATCCTGTAAGTTGTTCATAAAGTTAGTGTTTTTTGTTTTTTATATATATACTTTTATCCAGTTTTTTAAAAAAAAAAAAAAGGCGAAGGTTCTTCCTTAAGTGCTCCTAGTCTAAGGACTCCTCTCTCTCTGGCTGGCAGAGCCTTCAAACACAGCTAATGCTATTTAAATATCAATGGTCCAAAGTAAACCATGGAACCGTTTGGAAGTAACTAAACCTTCGCGCTAGAACAATGGGGCATTGAACTGGCAGTGCTCGTTCACGGGACACTCGTCTGATGCAAGCCCTTCAGCTTTTGGATCAGCTGATCACTTGCTTAGCTTTTCAGAGCGCTTCCTTGTTCGCTGCTGATGCAAAGCCTTTATTCTGGTGACGTACTATATTAATTGCAGCTTTCACGTGATTTAAAATCTGTCTAAAGTGAATTGATTCAAGGGTCTGACACTCAACGTTGCTAGTGTAGAGAAGAGGGACCCTTTGACGTGGATATTAAACTCTAATGAGATGGTGTGACTTGTTTCTCATTCTGACGCTGCTTTGTCTCTTTATTCAGTTGCTGACCTGGACGCCGGTCTGGAGCACGAACAGCGGCTTTTCCAGCAGGTTGTGACTCAGCAGATGGAGCGTCGCCTCACTGAGGCCAAGGCTTCCATCCTCAACTGCCAGGTGCTCCTGCTGCCTCGCCACATGACCACCAGGATTAGTCAGGATGTGGTGCGTGCCTCTGCTGATGAGCCCTGTGGGCTCCGGGGGGCCTCCATCAAGCTCTACATCGATGGCAAAGATGGCCTGAAGTACATCGGGAGCATCTTCCCCGATTCCAGCGTCACACCGACTTTCGAGCTATCTGTGGTCTTCAAGGCAGAAAGTGACGGCTGGCCGTCATTCAAGAACATCTTCGATGGCAACAAAGTTTTGAAGCTGAGACCAGAGTACCGGCTGGTCAAGAGGAAGCTCTACTCCTCTGCCAGTCCTGTTGTTCACGACTTCAACTAGGGGTGAAGATGAGACGCTAAACCATTACCCGTGTGTGGTTTTAACCATCAGCTACATGTAGTCTGCCATGCACTGGAACCTGATTGCCTTCCTGTAGTTTTTAAAGTGAGTTATTTATTTTTCTGTATGAAAGTCTGACAGGAGGCCCACTATTTTTCTTCGTTTTTATATTTATTTTTCGCTTTCCTCTATTCTGTAGTTGGTGACAGTATTTTTGCACCAGTATTTGAATGTAAAGATGTGTACACTGGAAGTGTGTCAGTACAGGATTGGGCAGGCCTCATTCCTGAAAGATGCCTCTTAATATACAGAATGCAAAATAAACTTTTTGCACAACTTCAGTGCTGTGTTTGCATGTTTCTTTTGAACACTGGGATCACACAGACCCTGTGATACCATCATAATTACAGACCCATTTACAGGTAATAGAAACTGTAAATAATCCTGTTCCTGATTACAATAAGCCTGAGGGCACAAAATGCAGTTACCAGGAAACTGTTCCCACAGAATGAATTCCCCTTGTCAGGTTAATCATTACTCAAGAAATTCAAAGTGAAATGCTGCTTAAATCCCAAACTGATCCCTTACACGTTTAGATCAAATCTTTATTAACAAATTTACACAAATGTATCAGCTACCCAAACACAACTACATGAACCTTTTCCAGTACAAAACTTCACTCCGTGACACGCATTACAAAAATCTTTCCTGTGCTCTATGCACAGCCTACATCCTAAGTAATAAGTGGCAATGATTCAGCAACAATCTGTTAAAGCCCATTAAAAAACAGCTGTTTTGTCAAACCACTGGTATTTAAAGCTGCTTCAAGGGCAACTTCGGGCCTTAGTGTATTTCCCTGTAAAAGAAGGGCTTTGACATTTTGAGGTCAACCTAATTAAATATTTTGTAGAGCCGGGTAATGTTTTGAAAGCCTTTTTTTGGTGCTGTCGATACCTCAGGTTAAGAGCTTGTTGCCAAACATCAGTGGCAGCCCTGCTCAGTGTTGAACGTGTTACACTGAGTTTAACCTGTGGCTGAATTTTATCTATATTTATATAATTACCCTTATTATCAATTGTACTCAGAAGTACGATCAGTAGAAAAGTGAAGGATCTGCAGTTTAATGGGCTGAAACATGCACTGGTAGACAATGGCCAATAGATTGAATCAAATCAATTAAATTACTATTAATAGAAGACACAAACCACAATTTTGCAACCAAAAAGAAGATCAGAAATCTATTTTATGAAATATTTTAAGTAACTCTTATTTTACCATTATGCTTTAGCAGTGATCAAACTAACAGATTTCTTTGCTCGGGGTGGTGTCAGCCCAACATGCAGAACTAGAAGACTCGCTTTGAATTTGTGGAACTATACATCATGGTTGCTCATGTGGCCATCTTCGTTGTTGACGTCTGTTCAGCCCAAAGGGGCTGAGCATAATCGGGTGCCGGACGTATGCACGACTCAAAGTGATCAAATCTGCCAAGTAGAACTCATCTGGCCCGTTCCCATCTGATCCCAAACAAACTGTTGCTGGTGAAAGTATTGTTCTCTATCCACAAAGACCTTGTGTTGCAGCAGGGGCAAATTATGACCCCCGCTACCCGTGCTGGTGAAATTATTCTTGGGAAAATTGGTGCAACATCCCATGGCACCCCATGAATGGGAGCGGAGAAAACACTGTACAGCTCTCTCAGACACACACACACACACTTATGGCCCTTAGTATAGGTGTGTGTGTGCACACAAAAACCAGGCACATGGAGACGGCACAGTCCTCTTCAGAAAACGACCAAAGTGACCAGAAAGCAATCAGCTGCAAGATTCGATGAGCGGCTCTCAGCCCCCTCTTGCACTACTTCTTCATCTTGAGGTCGGCCTCCATGGCACTCCGCCGCCCCCTAGTGCCTCCATCCTGCAGCAGAGACACAAAGAAACGTGGAGAGAGAGAAAGAGCACGCTTAACGTAAAGGTGTACAGGTCAAAGGTCAGGCAGGCCCTGTGGCAGGCCTCCTTGTGTCATTGAGCTCCGTACAAAAACAGCACAATCCACCCTGGAAGGCATCGTTCCCCAAATGATGAACAGAAAATAATCATGAGCAAAATAAAAAGAAAACAAGGAGAAAAGAAACTGGAACATGCAGAGATGCTAACGCACATTAACGGAAAAACACAGGAAACTGGCATTAACCGAAGGTCGACGGAAGCTTGGGTGATGAAAGTTACCTGTGTGTGTGTGTGTGTGTGTGTGTGTGTGTGTGTGTGTGTGTGTGTGTGTGTGTGAGTGAGTGAGTGAGTGAGTGAGTGAGAGAGAGTGTGAGTGCAGGATGGGAAAAATCTTTGGTGCAAACAAAAATGTAACCATTGATTACCTGTGATCTATTCATCTTCTGCACTCATTCTGCTCCATATATGCACATGTCTGTTGTGTGTGTGTGTGTGTGTGTGTGTGTGTGTGTAGGTGTGTGTGTGTGTGTGTGTGTGTGTGTGTGTGTGTGTGTGTGTGAGTGTGTGTGTGTGTGAGAGAGAGTGTGAGTGGGAGAGAGAGAGAAACTGCAAGGTAGAGGAAGAAGTCTTTCATTTCTATATCATCTGTATGGCACATCTATAGAGCACAGGATGGGCGTAGGCTCACGGCCCATCTCTTCTGCATTTAATCACTTCTACACTGCTGAGTAGTTGACCCCACTTTAATAGCTCAGTGGTTTAGAGCAACAATCTCTTTGAATCTGCCGTCATAAGTCTTGGAAAACCTGACTGATTAGATTGGATCGCCACTATGAGGAGTGGTTATTTCAACATGCTGTATATAAAAGATGGTCATTTTACATTAACCACTTGTTTACAAACAACCACTATGAAGCAATCTGATATTCTTATATCAGCATTTTTTGACACATAAAACCCAAACAATTTCCTCACATTTGCTATGTGTTGTATGTTTTTACTCGTCTAAATCAGCCGGTTGTTGTGTTTGTGGTGCTATGCTAACAGGGTGGTTGAAGCATGCCCTCTGTTGGACAAACTATGTAACATTCACACTCATGGCTTTAGGGCGTTTCTCCAATCTCTTTTTAAATCTTAACTTATCAGCCAATAAAAATACACAAAAAAAGAATAACCATCCTGAGGGCAGTGCGCCAAGTTACAAGCTAAAACTAAAGCTGCTCCCATAAAACTGCATCACAGAAATACCTACTTATAAATACTATGTTAAAAACTGAAGCCAATTTTACGGATAATTAAATTAAAAGACTCTAAAGGGCACCAACACTATAAATGCAGATGACTTGAATTATCCATGCTGAGGCCTAACAGAGACCGAGCTGCTACAGTTGTCTCTGCTGGCGACTGGCTGTCTATCAAAGTGTCCACACCCACTTTTACTTAAACACGGTCTTTCAGACAGGGTAAATATTATATCAGAGACACCAAAAATATTTTTTTCTATTGGGCTGAAAAGTGATATCTGATTATCTAATGTAGAGTTGGTTAATTTAACATGGGAGTCAATGAGGATTGACTCACTTTTAAAGCCAGTCTCAAGTGGCTCTTAAAAGAACTGAAGGTTGTGTCTCTTTCCCCATTTATTTGTGAGAGCCACAGGATGTTGCTTGGTTATTTTACATTTAACATTTGATTTTATATTTGTTTTTTATTTTATTGAGTATTTCCCACCAGTCTGAAGTGCGAGTGACTTCAACTAAAATTGGCCAGTTTAGGTTTGTAATATAGTTTGCAAGCTGACTTTTGCTCCTATCAATCTATATAGTTTTTATTTTCTGACTGGTCGTATTAGTCCACCTTTAATGACCTTCATGGCGTCTTGAATCCTTACTGTCCTCCAAAGCCGCTTCAGTAGAAATAAAGAGAAAGATCAGAGGTACAGACAGGTGTGTGCAGTGTGTAACACTGTGTATGTGTGTACATGTTAGCTTTGAGACAAGCGTGTACGGAGCTTGGCCTGACTCTGGTGAAACTTGAGCGAGAACCTGAATACTTACAAAAAGAGAGAGAAGGAAAGCAGGAGAGGCCATTGGGACACTGTCCTGTAGGAGGACAAACATCGGAGTGAGAAAGAGAGAGAAAGCACACACAGGCGTGAGAAAGCAAGTTTCATACAAGTCTGCGTCAAACACAGAGACACGCTCAGGAGATGGGGGTCCTGTTGACTTCAGAGCTGCACATACACAAACGCACATTTCTACACAACATCAAGACACACACACACACACAGTCTCTGAATGCAGTCTGGAAATATTAAGACTCATGGAGATGAAGAGCGTACACAAGCAGGCACAAACAGAAGCAACGCAGAGGTGTGAGGACCTCTCACAAGCACCGCACCACAGTTTGCACAACTTGTTAAAGTTCTAAAACGGAGAAGTTGGACTTTGCTGTGTAGCAGTTAAACAAAACACTAAAATTTTACTACGTCTGTAGAAATATTTGTTAAATATATTCTGCAAAATGTATCTTTAAGTGTGGACTTTGCAAGAAAACATGACATCTTCCCAAAATGTGTTGTCTGAATGTTTCAAATTTCCACCATATCCTATTAGACACAATCAAGCGTTCAAACAGGAGAAAGCAGGGTGCAGATAAAAGATGGATGTAGCCACTGTGACAACTGTGAATGCAAAGCCCAGTTGTAAAGCCTCAAGCGGAGCTTTTACGGCGTCATTTTATTATTTTGAAACCAAACATGACGAGCGAGGATTGGATCTGACTGACACATTCAGGGACGCTGCGTGCCACGCTACAGCTTTATCCTGTTTTTCACTCTTCATAAAATTAACCTCATGTTTTATTAAGACAGTCATCAGAAAAGTGTTTACTGAGGTAATAGATCAAAGGAGCTGAAGTGTCATTTTTCCACAGACAACCTTTTGTCACCCCCTGCTGGCGATAAGAAGAAATTAATGTTTAAGGCACTTCCACAATGACTCCATGTTTGAGAACAAGAGTGGAAGAAAATGGTTAGCTAGGATGAAGTTACATCCATTTTTTATATGCAATGTATGGGAGAAAATAACACACACACACACACAGTAGGAGATGCAGAGAGAGAAACAGGAAACAGAGCAGAGGGTCAGAGATAGACTAGAGAGACAGCAGCAGTGCAGCCAGCATGCAGGATGTGAAGCAGCTGGGAAGTCAAGATTAAGAAAGTGCACTTACAGCAATTAGAAGAGACAGTGCTGTGTAACAAAGTGAGCATGCCTAACTTGTATGATGCGCATCAGTGCCGACCCTTTAATACATTGGCACTCTTAACTCCTTGTGTCCTAATCGCACCACTGGTTTCTGGTACTTCACACCACACTGACACAGTACAGTAGCATCACTCTGGGATCGTAATGTGGAGACAGGGTGAGGTGTATCGAGGTCAATTCTTCAATAAGTTCTTTTAGAAAACTAGTCCATTTGTCATATTCTATGTGACATAAATCAGAACTACACTGACTGCATGGTCACTTAAATGTGTGCTGAACCCACAGCTTCCTCAGGTTTCATATGCTGACAGTAAATAAAACAGCATGTCTGTCTGTGACATTTCACAGAGCATAACTGACACGTCAAAAACATTTAATGAATCCACTATTTATGTTTCTTCCACATAAGCGTGTATTTTCATCCAGTTTTGAAATGACTGCCAACCGCAGCATGATGGCACACTGAAATTATGGTCCTGATATACCAAACACATTTATCTACACCAATATAAAATGCCCTTAATAAAAAAAAAACTTTATGACTCCATAAACTGGAAGTGCTATCTGTGGTTTACAAGAAAGAGCCAGTTCTGGGACTGTGCACTTCCTGTAAATAATTAAAATGCATTAAACTTAGATTAGATTTCTCCACCTTCTCTTGGAGGCGGGCAGACGGACTGTTCGCAGTAGCTTTGCAGGCATCATAAAACTCTAAATACCTGGAAGAACATTTATTGCACCGATCTAACAGGAGTCACAGCACTCAGTGTTGGAGAGAGGCAAGAGTTTACAGTGTAGTTACAAAACATCAGCACTGGCATGTGTGGAAACTTTCTTTTGCTTTTAATAAAGAACTCTGCTTCATCACAATCAGACTTGTCTGCTGCTCAACCCACCTTCTCGGCTGGCTCTCCTGGTTTACGATTTCCCTCCCTGCCTCGGAGGCTCTTGGCAGAGATGGCGCTCTCTGAGGTCTGCATGATGAGCTGGGTGGCCAGGAACTGCTGGACGTGCTCCAGGACGTCGCGCTGCATCTCCAGCGCCATGTGGTACACGTCGTGGTCCGACGAGTTGTACATGACGGCATTCTGAAACATCAGCATGATGTCGCGCTGGAACTCAGCGGTGGTACGGATAACACCGGACTCGATGTTCTTCTTTATGGCGGACAGGTCCATGGGTCTGCAGCAAGAAAGCAGCAGCAGTTAGTTTGTTTTGGTACTTTAGTTGAACAGTTAGGCTGCAACGATTTTTAGCTGAGCTTGTTTCAAAAATGAAGGGTGTGTGTGTGCGGTCTGACCTGTGTACAATGCTGTGGTAACCTGGAGCGATGTCATCTGACACAGGCTGTAGGAAGACGCTGGCGTACCTGAGAAACACAATATTAGCAAAAGTAAAACACCTGTTTCCTCTCAACAACGTGACCCGGGTTAATCTGTAGGATTCAAGCGAGTCTCTAACTTCTTTAACTGACTGGAAAAATGGTTTCATGCAAACGTGCTGCAGAATGTCCAACAATGTAGTTACTCATTCAGTCACACCAGCTCGATACAAAAAGCTGGAAATTGATGAAACTCACAATAATAAGACAAAAATAAATAAATCAAATGAAATTGATTTGAACTTACTGACCAAAACAACAAGACTTGAGCAATTTATTGTTGAGCTCTGGTACAAAGTTCTACCTGTGATTGGCTGCAGCTCTCCACACCAGCATAATGGCTTTCTTCCAGATCTTCTGCGCCTGGACCGCCTCCTGGTCTTCGCCACATGTAGAGCTGACGCAGAGAAAGAAGAGAGAGGCAGTCGGAGCAGAGTGGGAGAGAAAAGCAAAAAAAACAAAAGCATATACTGTTAGACTGTTAGCCCAATGAAAATGACAAAAGTCAGCTAAGTTTGATCCATTTTCAAAGAAAGATTTCCCCTAATATTTTTGTTAAGAAGAATAGCAGGGGTTATTTCAGGAGAAACAGACTCCTGGTTTTACTATTACTGGTAAAACCAGGGACAGGGTGAATATTTTTGCCTACGCCCTTTCTGGAAGAATAAGCACCTGGACACTTACAGCTGGGAAGAAGAGGCCGGGCTGCTGGCCAGTGAATCAGCAGTGTAGCGCTGGGAGGGCGGGCCGTATCCATCCTCACTCTCACTTGCTGCCCGATCCACCTCAGATAAATATGGACCCTCCCCCTCTCCACACTCGTCCTTCAGCTCCATCGCTTCTTCGGGGTCGCCCTCGCTCCCTGCCTCCTCCTCCTTCACCTCCTGGATTCAAGCACACAGAGTAAAATAACGGTTATTCTTGTTATCATATGCCGTCCACACATGTACGTAGCCTTAAATGTGTTACCTTGGACTCTTTCCCGGACACAGAGCTGTCCTCAGAGTCTGTGGGACAGAAACGAGGAGACAATGAGAAAACAGAAATGTGTGAGCATTTCCACTGTGGGTATAGATCGGTGTGTAATCCACGCACCTAAGCAAGGTGGGTTGGGCTCAGGCTGACTCCACTCCTCTCCTTCACTCTTCACTGTAGCTTCAGTGACTTCTTTGACCACGGGCCCCTCCTCTGCGACTTCACTTGCTGCTACACCATCATCAGAGGTGACAGAAGAAGTGACATCACTTCCCGTCACCTCAGGTCCTTCATAGTTTCCCTTAAGCGGTTCTTCCCTGTTAGTATCTGGCTGGTTTTGTGTCTCCTGGCTGGCAGGTGTCGGGGCTAATGTTGCGACCATATCCTGAGGTGTCTGTGGGGGGGCTGACTCTTGGATGGTGGGTGTGGGCTCTGAAGCTTTCAGCTCCTGGGTCTCCCAGGGGCCAGGTAGGGTGTGACCTTCTGACACGGCCTCTTCGCACAGAGAGAGAGCTGCTTCCACCGCAGCTGCATCCAAAGCCACAGGGTCATCGTCCTGGGATGATGATCAAAAAGATAAACCATTATGTTGTTTCAGTGTTTCCCCACACATGAACTTTACATGGGGAGCCAGGTTAGTGAAAGAGCAGGTGTTAGACCTGCTGACTGTCAGAGCAGCAATGAAGTGTCTCCAATTAAAAAACAACAACAAACAAACAAAAAAACAAGAGGAGTTCTTAAGCTAAACCCCAACCGACCAAAACCACCAGCGATAACTGTGGCCTCTTCCTCCTGACCTGTCAGACACATGTGACCTTACAGGGATCACTAGGCTCCTTCCAGTATGGCTCTCATACTGGTAGGAGTTCATTGACCACACTAAGGTTGTGATCGTTACATCATGGGCCCCATCCAGCCTACTTTGATCTTGAGACAGCTGTGAAACTCACCTTTCTGAGATGTCTTAATATTTGAAAAGGAAGTGCAATTTCAACAGCATGTCTTAAAGAAACGCTGATGTAGCAAATGAGAAAAATGTATTAACGCGACTCTTTGGGTTTAAATTGTAAGAAAAAAATGTGTAAAATTCCAGAAAGTTCTGGCAAAGTTTTTGTTAAGTCACAGAAAATATGTTTTAACTGTGGAACCACTAAAAACCACAGAAACCTCTACAGTGAAAACACAGGAACTTTTCTCTTATTTAATTGCTAAGCTATTACTTAAGTACTTTGGTGCAGTGTGAAAGGCCTCTTTAATTTACGCCCTCCTTCACATTTTCCAAAGCTGTCCAGTGGAGACTCCAGACTGGAGTCTTTGCCTGGCCGCAGACTTTATGTTTGGCACCGGCTCTAGGGGTTGGGTGGGCCAAGTGAATTTTGAGATTTTACATTTTTTCACCCCATCCAAAGGAATAAAGAAACCAATATACTACTGGAAAAAATCCCCTTTTTCTTATTGTGAAAATTCAGTTGCTGTTAACGAGCGATTGTCAGTACTTCCTGTCTAGTGCTCTCCTGTAGGCAGTCTGTTCAGGTTGCTGCTGTGACAATCCTCAGTGTAGTTGTGCCATCTACAGGCAGTCCTTGTTCTGCTCTAGAGATTCTTCAGGGCCACTCTTAGCTAAATGTTTAGTCCAAGTCTGACAATGGGAACATAAAATATGGAAAATTTCATTCTTTGTTTTCCAATTAACACTAAATATTTTCTAAATCATATTTTCTTTGTATTAGTTTGTTTTTAGTGTCATTGCCTTAATCAACGACTAAAATACTTGATATTAAACCTACAAAATAAACTCTGCTCCTGGTCATGTTAATCTCAAACGAATGCAGCCCCTACACAGTACGTACCTTCTCTTCAATGATGGCAATGATGTCTCCCACTGTCTCCAGGTCCAGTTCATCACCAATGTAAGACACAGCCACGAGGTCTTCTTCTACTAATCCCGTGTCCTCACCGAGCTCTGCCTTCACTGCGGCCTCCGCTTCCCCCTCTGTAAACCCGTGCAGGTGACGAAATAAGAACACAGGCATGCAACAACAATCTTACTGCAAAGTTAAGACCCGTATCTCCCTCTTTGAACCAGGAAACAATGACTAAAATGCAACAACGCGGACGTGTGACTTTATTTAGAAACAGACTGTAGAAAAACAGGAAAAAAAGGAGGAGGAGAGACAAGCAAAAACGTTCCCCCAGACACCCCCAAGACATTTAGTGTTACTTTGAACATGCTCTGTCTATCTTAATTACAAGCAACCAGGAGTCACGATGCCCAGTTAGGTTTTGTTTAACCTGCTTTTTAAAATCAGGACATTTTTAGGAGCCCCATGAATGCAATTATTTCCCAGGACAGCAACCAGGCAAGCTGTAAAGAAAGTAGCTCCTGTGTAATGTGAAACTTAGTTAGGTGTGTTTACCTGTGATGATGTCATGGCCAGGTGGTAAGGCAGTGGCTGCCGTAGCAGTCTGTACGCCATTAGTTAGGCTTCCAGTGGAGTCGCCCTCTGCAACCTGACATCAGAAAAAACACAACAACAAAAACACCAAAGTGAGGTTTAATAAAAAATATCAGCATGAAAGAAGATTTAAAAGAATACTGATGTTAGAATACAGTAAGGCTTTATTGCCCACTGAGTGGATCAAGTCCTACTTTCATTCTTTGAATGTTAGTATTAGAATAGGTATCAAAACTCAGTGGCTTAGCCAGGAATTTAAAAATACTCCAAATCGATTTGCACTTTACAGATGCATTTAAATGATTTGTTTTCACACATTGCTGGTTTTCAGGTATTTTACAGAACTGAGTCTAAAGCCTTTGAGCGAGACTCGCAGCTTTCATTGTAATCACATCGTTTCTGGATGTTATGAGCCATGCTAAGTTGCCTCTCACCAGGCGAGGGCTGGCTGAGATGAGGTTGCCTTTTTTCAGCAGTTCTGACAGTAGAGGTGAGGGTGGCGGTGTGGCCTTCTGGGCTAGGAGCCTTTTCTGTGGCGAGTCATCGACTAGAACAGCGAGTCCACCATCTTTGGGCCCAGGTCCTGGAGGGTCTGCTGCTGGTAGAAACACTCCTACCCCCTGAGCCTGACAGACAGCAGAGAAGTCATTGAGACGGAGCGAGGTGATCTTATTCCTCTGACTTGTAATGAGGCAAAAACTATAACCCCTGGGGCCGAATATACTCATGTTTAATGTTACTGTAGACGCCTCCATATTCACTGCAGTGAAACATGGTTTATGTTGCTGTGAGCTTGGCTGAAATTTATCTCTTAACAGAAAACTGGGACTCTTATAAACTCATTTCCCTTCACCATCATTCTTCTATCCTGTGAGCTAAACAAGTATATATGGCAAACTAAGTGTTCCTACAACTGAGTGGGTGGTGGTTGTATCTTCAGAGACACCGGCTCCTGTATCCATGGGTGGAGTGGGCACTGAAGAGTCAGTCTGAGAATCCAGGTTTGGCGGGCTGGCACCCAGGGGAGACCGTAAAGTCACACTGGGCAGACGCTTGGGTGTGTTTTTCACTGCCTGGCGAGCTGCGATACAGACAGAAGACCAGAGTGGAGGTGAGCATGACAATTTTCAAACTCTCCTTAAAAACAAATCTGAAAAAAAAAAGCAGCAGAGAAATCCTGAACATCATGTGAGAGGATCATCACTCCAACCCAAGCACTTGAGTGAAAGATGCTCTTGTCTTAAGAGAGGCTGAGAAACATTCCAAGAAGGACGAGAAGTTGCAATCTTCTGAGATATAGATGCATATAATTCCTGCTTTATTACATCCTCTCAGTTGATTCTGATCTCACATCTATGTTACCCCTCAGGTTTTTATTAAGCTTCCCTCCCCTTCCTAAAAATATCAAACTATAAATTACAGCAAAGAATTTTTCTACTTCATCTTCATGATTCTCGGTTTGCAGATGGTCTAAACTCTATTTTCAAAACGTTTCCTCTATCCAACAACCTCAAATAGCCATAAAATGTAGAGTGCAATAGTCCAGGAGAAATAAAATGCCTGGCTACAGAGGACCTCTCATCATTTTTAAGAGTGCTATTGTTTTCAGACATCCTAATTCCCTTCTAGTATTGTCCACATAGCCAAAACCACAAGGGCTTTGCAACAGGTCGGCTACATGTGTGGGCCGAGGTTCGACGTGTGATTTGAATCTTCCTGGTTGTACGTGGATGTGAGAGATGGTCGTCTTTAATCTTAGCTTAGAGTTCGTGCCAACAAGGGAAATCTTTATGCTAAAAAAACCTGTAGGTACAAAATGAAGTTCTACCTTCACAAATCTGTCCCTTAGTTTACCAAGATCACAGGTTTCAACTTCATATGGGAACTTTGTTTTTATATCAAATGACTCACTCGAATTTTAATAGTATGACATATATACTTAACTTCAAACTCTGACAGATCTTACCATAACATACAGACAATGGCAATGGTAACACCCACCACAGAGCAACAAGTGTGCAACTAATTCTTCGCCTTTTCCTAAGAAACACATGCACCAGCCTTCGTAGAGTGAAAGTGAACCTAAACTACCTTGGTACGCCATTTCTGTGGCTTTCCTCTTCCGCTCTGCTTCCTCCTCGTCCTGCTTCTTCTTTCTAGGGAAGGCAAATTTAAAAAAACAAACAAACAAAAACAATGAGCATTTTATGACAATGTAACAGTTTGTATACAAAACTAAATGAGAGAACACCCTCATTTATCTAAATAACCCACTCATCTACAGAGATACAGATGCAGACATATACTTTTTTAATCCCACATTGGGGAAATTTACTTGTTACAGCAGCACAGACAGAAGAAAAATGTGAATAAGAGATATATTAGAAAACACACACACACACACACATAAATAAATAAAAGAACAGTGTACAAAACATGTATAGTTGTTGGTTACTGGCAAACAGAGCAATGTTTTACTGGCAGCGTTCTGCAAGATCTTTAACACACTGGAGTTGGTTGTGTGAAACAGCTATCATGGTAATCCACCCATTAGGTGGAAGCACTATCCCACAGATAAGATGCTTACAATGTGATCTCTCCCCAAAGCTCTTTCAGCTGGGAGTCCATGTGACCCATCTGTATCAGATCCACCTCCTTCTTCAACTTCCTGTTGTGATTAAAACAAACAAAGCAAAAAGAGGTTAAAGTTCAGATATCAAAGTTGTCAAATGTTTTTCCTTTAAGAGTTTATGTACCTGTACTGCTCTTGTGTATCTCGTATAAGTTTTTTTAACTCCTCTATTCTCTCAGTGGTCAGCCTACGAACGATGACATCTTCAATGGTCTCGACCACCTCGCCCTTCTCACCGCGCTTACGCCTGGAACAGGAAAACACACATTTTGAGTCAACTCTCAAATTATTTTTAAAATGCATAATAATATTGTTTACTTTTTATATCTGCACACAGATATGTGTACACACTGTAATACTGACTTAGGGGCTTCAGTAGCTTCCAGCAGTTCTGAATATTGTGAGGCACAGTGCTGAGAAACAGAGAACAAATTATTCTTATAGGTGAGCAGAGGAGATCAGTCCAACTGCAGTTACACTCAAAAGACAATTTTCCTGAAGACTTATGGAAGTGAAGTGTGAGATAAATTCACAAAAGGAATATTTGTTATGCTCTCACCTTTTGTGAGAACCAGTCTGGTGGACGCCCAGGCTCTGCGAAAGGCTTGATGGCTCTACTTACACTTACCCTGGAACACAGAGAGTCTCCTCAGACTAAACTCAAGCATTAAGCAGATAATCTAACAATAACAAGCATTTTAAAAATAAAATAATATTATTTTGTCTTACAAACTGCCTTGCACTCACCTACTGCCAGTGTTTGAAACAGATTATGAGCACAGAACAATAACCACCATAAGGATCATTGTTAAGACACTCAATCTGATATATTCTAGTTCGATGGTTCATTTAGACAAAAACTGGTAATCTTAGGGAAAGCACAAACTGTTTGCAAACACTGATATCTTAAAAGAAATGGTACAAAACCCTCTGAAGATAATTTTCATATTATAATGCTCATTTTTAGGAGAACTGCAGAAAAATAGTGGTATATAATGATAGTAAATACAATTACAGTTATATTTATCAAACAAGATCCTTAAATCATTTTACATATCTTCTCCTTACAGCATTTCTCCAACACATTTAAAATATGAATATGAGGTCCCATGGGCAAACTAAATCTCTCTCTCTCTCTCTCTCTCTCTCTCTCTCACACACACACACACACACACACACACACACACACACACACACACACAAAAGTAGCTGAGCATATTTCTTTTTACCAGTTTTGGTCTCCGCTCCTCATAACAGAGGAGGCCAGGCACAATTTCTCCCTGACTGACCAGGGCTCCGTCGGCCCCACATTCAGTATCTTGTGTTCTGTTGGGGGGAAAGAAGAATTTATTGCGCGATTCACTGTTTTTCCTGCTACTTTGTTGCTACTAGCTAACAAGCCACAGGGTGCCACAAGCCAGTACACAGTGTACTGGCTTGCCCCAAACCCAAATGAATAATGGAGAGGGGTGCATCAGGAAGAGGATCTGACTTAAAATCATCACCAATCCAATCATGTGGCTCATTAGTAAGATCTGCATACTGGACTGGTCAGGAGCCCACAAACTGCAACCAGTGCTGCTGGCAAGCAGAGTACCAGTGGAAACTATGCCACTGATGAGTGAAGACAGATTAGAAGAAGGCCAAGGTTAGTGTGTCTAGAGTCAGTAACAGAGAAATTTTGGAGCGTGGAGGACAGAGCAGGGACTGGGAAAAGGAGATAGCTGACTGATTGGATATGACCAGAGGAAAGATAATAGATATACTGAACAAAGGACGCTGAAGATGGAGCTACAAGACAGAAAGAAAAGGGGAAGAACAGAGGGAAGATTCGTGGATGCAGTGGAGGGTGCAGAGGGTGGTGCGACAGAAGAGGATGTTAGGGGTAGGGTGAGATAGAGGCAGATGGTCCAGATGATCCACTGTGGTGACCCCTAAAAGGCACAGCTGAAAGAAGCTAATTAAAAACCTGTATTTTAGGGCAAAAGCAATGGCTCAAAAAGAGCCACATAAAATATGAGACATTCCGAAACAACTCAGTTAACTTCATTCTGCCACACAAGCTTCCATCCAAATTGCAAAAGCATCTGAGGGTAATCTCAGTAACTGAACATAAAATATATGGGGCTTGTGGTTACGTGTAGTAGTAGTTCTGCCACATTAGATTGTAACGTTATGGCTTTGTTATTACTAGCAATATTATCTGACTGCGTTTTGACAATTTTAATTGAGTAAAATCCCAATTAACATTATTTTTAATTGAGTGCTATTTTACGGAACTTTCTATCCCTGCTTACTTGGTCAAATACACACAAAAACATGTTAAAAAAAACTAGTATTTTTTCTAAGAAGAACACTATCATCAGTCAGATGACGAATCAGTCTCTGTGGACTGTCTCAGTTTTTTTAGTGGTTTGTTATTGTTTTTTCGCTAAGTACCACACATACGACGGTCCTGTTCTCGTACAGTCAATAAAAACCGTTCAGATCGTAATATGTTGAAAACGTTATTTTAAGTTTAAAAATATAAAAAAAACCAAGGGCAACGGCGTCAAATGAATGATTTAAACGTCTTTCGTTATTTAGCCAAGGTAGCTAGCTAATGCTACACTATTGATATTAGCTTGGGTATGCTAATATGATTACAGCAAAGCATTCCTCACGTTTACTGGGGCGTGAATATAAGTTAAAACACACAACCCTATCAAGAGACGTATCACATACATTTCTAGAAAAAAAAAACAACATACGCATTGCTAATATTTAATTTATAGCGTTAGCTTAGCATAGTCGATTAAGGGGGACACATTCGTGAGACACACACACACAGGTAAACACGGTGCAACGTTTTAGCAAGGTAAGGGGCTACAGGTTCTGGCTAAAATAATCTAGCTGCAAGGCTTGGAGTTTGTTTGTTATTACTACTGTCTATAAATGACGAGGAAAAACAGAAAGACTTGAAATATATTACTCACTGCCGATACCGCTCGCCATTGCTTTTGTGACGAGGCCTTGATCACAACTTCCGCCGGACAGGTTTCAACGGAACACACAGTAAAGTCAACCCAAGCGAGCGGAACAAATGGAAATTTGATTAAATAAATAAATAAATAAACGAAGCTTTAAAAACAGTGAGGGATACTAGGAGCTGTTTCATTACACTTAAGCAGAGTTGGAAATACTTCGTTACTGTAACGAAATACAAATACTCTGTTACTGTACTTACATACAATTATCAGGTGTCAGTACTTTACTTGAGTCGTTTTTTTTCTGACAACTTTTTAATCATACTCCCTATATTTTTAAAATAGGCTCGTAACTCTTGTTACATACAGAGTAGTTAGACATATTCAGACACACAGAACCAATGCATAATGCATGGTATAGCACAGAACCATGTACATAATGCACACACACACACACACAATCGTCATTTGTTACTTGATGGTTGTTGTGGCTAACCTAACTACCCCTGCATAATTCAAATAAATGTAACTACTGATTGGGAGTTTGATCCCTGGCTGCTTTAGCCTATATCCCCAAAGTGTTCTTGGCCAAGATACTGAATCTAAGTTATTTCCAGCGTGATTATCAGAGTGTGAATGTTAGATAGAAAGCAATTAAGATGTATAAAAGGTGCTTGTGAAATACGTAAATTTACTAATCGAAATATTTTTCTCTTTGAAAAACTAAAGTTCATGCCAAATTTTAGCCATACTTTCAGATCTCTGGCACTGCAATGGGAACCCAAATGGCCCCCAGTTTTGCCTGTCTTTTTGTTGGTCATCTGGAAGAACAAATTCTATATAATCACCAAAATAACCCTTATTTACCATTCATTGTATCTTGGAAACGTTATATAGATGACGTATTTCTACTCTGGAAAGGACCAGTCTCTATATTACTAGAGTTTGTAGAATTCCTTAATGGACACTTTGCAGGCTTACGTTTCACCCTCAATTACAGTACTGAAGAAATTAACTTTCTGGACATGAAAGTAACAAAAAAAGACAAATCTCTGTCCACATCTCTGTATTCTAAACCCACTGATCGGAATACATTATTACATGCTGCAAGTTTCCATCCGAACCACCTCAAAAAGAGCCTCCCTGTAAGCCAGTTGATTAGACTCAAGCGTATCTGTGAGACTCATGATGAATATAATGAGAGTAAAGAAGAGATGTTGAACAAATTCAAAGAAAGAAAGTATAAAGAGAACTGTTGAAGTTCTGCAGAAGAGAAGGTGAGTTCAGTAAGTAGGGATGTCTATTTAACAACCAAGAAATCTCCAAAACATAAACCCAACCTTATCTTCTGCACAACCTTTACGCCAAAAACCAGAACAATTAAAGAAATAATTCTAAAACATTGGCATATCCTTCAGAATGACCCAAACTTATTAGGTATCTTCCAAGAGCCACCAATGATAACCTACAGGAGAGGAAGGAATATTAAAGATAGGCTTGTTAGAGCTTACCAGGACCCTATTACTCCAGATAAAACCCTGATAACCCATGACCTACATGGCAATTTCAAGTGTGGGGCATGCATTAATTGTCAATACACCAAAAATTTGCTCACTATCGTTAAGAATCACTGGAGGTAAAAGCCTGAATAACCCATTGACCTACATGGCAAATGTTGCAACAGTGGTGGGGCATGCTATTAATTGTCCCAAATACACCAAATATGTTAAATCAATTCAAAAGACCTATTAAGGTTTGTACAAAACCAATATTTTTTTAGTTATTTTTTTAATTTATTAATTTTATATTTAATTTATTTTTTTTTTTTAGATTTTTTTACTATAATTTTTTGTTTTCTTTATTTAATTTATGTAATAATTTTTTTTTTTTGCCAATAAAGGGCTTTATCACATGCAGAACTAAAAATGTAATCTACATGATACAGTGCCCATGCAATAAAATATATATAGGAGAAACATCCCGCCCTCTTAAAGATCAAATTAATGAACACAGAAGTTCGATCAAGAGGAATGATTTAACCAGCCCTGTTGCAAGACACTTCAATAATAAACATCCAAATTCACCATTATTTTTCCTAGGCATTGAAGCCATTAAACTAAACCACAGAGGTGGCAATATAAATTTTATCCGGAAAAAAAGAGAAGCATTTTGGATATTCCGTTTTAAGCGTCTGTACCCCAGAGGTATGAATGAGGATTTTTCATGAGTTTTTATGAACTACACCTTTTTTTTATTTATTATTTTTTATTTTTTTTATTATTTTAACCAAAGGAGTAGTGTTCCAGACATCTCACTTTAAGTCCAAATTTTAAGTTTAGATTTTACATTTTAGAGACATAAATAAGGATCTTTTAACAAATGTGTTCCCATGTTATGATGTAATCTTGTTTTCTAAATTCATATAGCGTAGTGGCAGCGGGAGGAATAAATGTCCATCAGGGAGGGGAGAGGGCAGCCGATGATCTTTTGTGCTGTCTTGACCACACTCTGAAGCCTCACTCTATCTGCCTTGGTGCAGCTGCCGTACCATACCGTGATGCAGTAGGTTAGCAGGCTCTCAATGGACGAGCGGTAGAAGGTCAGCAGCAGGTTGGAGTTCAGCTTGACTGTTGGGCCTTCTTGATGACCGCTGAGAAGGAACCGGAAAGTGTGGACCCTCTCCACACACTCCCCGTTGATGTAGAGGGGGGCCAAGTCGGTGCTGTGTCTCCTGAAGTCAACAATGAGCTCTTTGGTTTTCTTAGTGTTCAGTGCCAGGTTGTTTTCTGAACACCATGCTGCCAGCTTCAGGACTTCCTCTCTGTACTCTGCCTCGTCTCCCTTCGAGATGAGTCCGACTACCGTGGTGTCATCAGCAAACTTGATGATGAGAGTGTTGTTGTGGGTCGAACTGCAGTCGTGGGTGTAGAGAGAATACAGGAGGGGGCTCAGCACACAGCCCTGTGGGGAGCCGGTGCTCAGTGTGCGAGTGGAGGAGAGATGAGGGCCGAGTCTTACAGTCTGGGGCCGGTTTGTGAGGAAATCCTTTATCCAGGCACATGTGAGAGGAGGGAGGCCAAGAGTGACCAGTTTGGTGATGAGGATGTCCGGGATGATTGTATTAAAGGCTGAGCTGTAGTCCACAAAGAGCATTCGGACGTAGCTTTGCCGCTGCTCTAGGTGACTCAGCACAGCGTGGAGGGCTGTGGCGATGGCGTCTTCTGTGGATCTGTTTGCACGGTATGCAAACTGGTGGGGGTCGAATTCTGGGGGGAGGTAATCCTTGATGTGCTGAAGGACTAGTCTCTCAAAGCATTTCATGATTACCGGTGTGAGGGCCACAGGGCGGTAATCATTCAGGCTGGAGATGGGAGACTTCTTCGGCACTGGGATGATTGTGGCTGATTTTAGACAGGATGGGATGGCTGCCTGATCCAGTGAGAGGTTGAAGAGTCTGGTGAAGATGAGGGTGAGCTGGTGTGCGCATGCTCTTAGTACCTTGCCAGGTACTCCATCTGGACCGGCCGCCTTCCTGGGGTTCACTGCTAGGAGCACACGTCTGACATCGTGCTCTGTTACAGTGAGTGGAGCGGTGCAGGAACCAGGTGAGGATGAGGATGGGAGCAGGGCTGAAGCAGATGAGTGTTGCTGTTGTGGTGTTTCAAAGCGGGCGAAGAAGCTGTTTATTTCCTCTGCCAGCTGCCCACTCGGGTTTTCTGTTTTCGCAGTGCTGCCTCTGTGGTTGATGATGTCTTGCATTCCCTGCCACACCTCTCGTGTGTTGTTGCTGGACAGGTGGGACTCGATGTTCCTTTTGTGGTCTGACTTGGCTTTTTTAATCCCCCTTTTCAGGTCAGCTCGAGCAGCCCTGTACAGAGCTCTGTCACCTGACCTGAAGGCGGCATCACGGGCTTTGAGGAGTGAGCGGACCTCGCTGGTCATCCAGGGTTTTTGATTTGGGAAAACCCGAATGCTTTTGTCCACTGTCACATTTGCAGTACAGAACTTGATGTAGTCCAGTACTGATCCTGTGAATGTTTCTAGGTCCTGGTGTTCAAATATGTCCCAGTCTGTCTCTGTGAAGCAGTCCTGTAGTTTGGAGAGAGCATTTTCCGGCCAGGTTGTAACAGTCTTTGTGGTGGGCCTGGCACTGCGCCTGAGGGGGGTGTAGGCTGGGGAGAGCAGGAGGGAGAGATGGTCGGACTGACCGAGGTGGGGGAGGGGTATGGCTCTATATGCATGCTTGATGTTGGAGTAAACATGATCTAGAGTGTTTTCTCCTCTGGTGGGACATTTGACATGCTGATAGAACTTTGGGAGTACAGTCTTTATGTTGGCCTTATTAAAGTCACCTGCAATTATGTGAACACCGTCCGGGTGGGCCCGCTGCTGAGAGCGCCATGTTTACGTTGGCATCGGGTGGAATGTACACAGCCGTGATGATCACTACTGTTAGCTCTCTCGGTAGAAAAATAATGGAATGCAGGAATAAAAAAGCCCTGTGACACACTGTCAACCTGTCCAGGTCATGATCATGGTCATGATAATCCGATCGTGGATGTTAAAAGACTTCCTAATAAATGTTGTGAGGTTGACAATTTTGAGTTAACATTAAACACTTTCTTTCCAAATCCATTGAAAAACCTTCTAGCTGTTGGTTTGCAAAGTTTGTGTGAGTGGCACGGTAGTGTAGTGGTTGGCACTGTTGTCTCACAGCAAATAGGTCCTGGGTTTGAGTCCAGCAATCCTTTTTTATGTGGTGTTTACATGCTTTCCCTGTGTCTGCCAGTATCCTATTCAAAGATCTGCATGGGGTTACGTTAATTTTACATTGGCCATAGGTGATAATAGATTGGTTTTCTCACCTTGTGGTAGGATCCAGCCCCTCCGCTACCCTGAATTATGCTTAAACGCCTTCAAAATGACTAAAAGCCCCAACTTACATCTTATACAATGCAAAATTCTTCGTAGAACACACTGTACAGGACAAAGGTTGTTCCAAATGGGCTTTACACACTCAAACATATGCACCTACTGCAAAGACAATTCTGCTGTTTAGAGGTTCTGGCAGAGGATATGTGAAGACTTATACACATGGTTTAGTTGCTGTATC